ATTTAGTACATCAATACAGTACGCCTACAGTACTTATCGCATGCAGGCTAACTAAATAACCGAATGTGTGAGAGAAATCTTGACATTTACAGAATTTGAACACAGAGAAACAGATTGTACACAATCTATCAGTTTTGTCTCAAAAGACAATGTTTGAACAGACTTGTATGATGTATACAACATTGTCTATTAACTTCTAACAGGCATGAAAAAACACATAATTTGTTTGGTCAGAGATCTATTGCTCTGTCCACACTATCAAATTTCCTTTGACAAAAAAACTGCTGTATGTCCATACTGTAATAATGATGTGCCTATATGGTCTTGATGTGATATCATCATAATCATATTTAGACATGTCACATGTTTTTGTAAATAAAATAACATTTGATACTCTAGACAGCTCAATGATCATTGATTAATAAAGAACCTGATAACATTACTGGCCACTAAAGTAGATAATAACAATAACATTTGTATAGAAAAACCTACTACAGTACAGTAGATAATAATAACATTTGTATAGAAAAACCTACTAAACTGTTCAGTATTCTCTGTTACTTTCATAATACTGTACGTAAGAAAGAAAAGGGAAATATATAATATTAATTATAATATAGCCACAGAAAATTACAATAAGAAAAGTCAAACAATTTGAATAGGTTTTCAAAGGAAGCAATATCACAATAGGGTTCAAAGGTCACATTCCACCATTTTTTGTTTATTGTTAATTTTATATTGTTAACTCCATTTATATCCAAATTCAAAATAATTATGTGATGCTTCAAATAAGATGAAATACTTCCCCAGGGAGCTACAGTAAGTACATGTTCCTTGTAGACATTTGTTCCACCATGGAGGTATAACAACTGACCAAGATAATGTGAAATGTCTAGAAACATTAGTAATAACATATTACAGCAGATCTATATTACTGTATGTCATCACTTAATTTTTAGTCTGTAATTCATCTGTCTTTCCTATTTAAAATGTAAACATACTGTAGTCAAATCAGTGATTGCAGGCCCGTAGCCAGCGAACGATTTTATTATTTATTTTGTAATCGAGCTAGTATAGGCCAGGGCATAGGCTAGCAAGGAAATGTACTTGGTAATGTTTTCACGTTTCGTCAGAATTAACTGACATTATTCGTCTCTTTTTATAGGCTAGGCTAGGCCTAGGCTTACAATCAGTTCAGTTGTATTATTGATATTATCATGTTAAAGAAAAAATACTTGATCAGTAAACATGCCCTCTTGATGTGTCTCGGACTGTTTTATAATAATAGCCTAAAGTACTGCTCTACTGGGATCTAGTTATTCTGGTAAAAAAGTAAAATGTAGGGCTGTCAGTTCCTATTGTTTCTTCATTTCTGCAATAAATAAGATATTATTTGCAATATTTCTCTTTTAAGCAAAGACCTTTTACATACCTCCATATTTTGATATTGGTATTTAGCGATCTCATAATGTGCAAGGTCTGTGTTTAGTACAGTCACCTAGTGGGTGTATAAGAGACAGGTGTATACAGTACTGTAGTACTTTCTCGATATTATTATTCACAATTGGAAAAGAGTATGCCACTATTATAATTAATTGTTGAAAGCTCAAGGGAAGGAAAGTGCTTAAAAATTGATTTCAAATCAATGTATATACAGTAACTGCAACAAAATGAAAATGAAATAAGACACATGGATCTGTTGTCTTAGTTATGAGATACATGTACACAGCCGGCTATGAAGATGATAACTGTATATCAGAATTCCAAGAGATCAAAAATACTGTAAGTTGTACTACTGTAGGTATCTACAGTAAGTTTACTCGTGAAAAGGCTGCGGCTCCGGGACATTTGCAGTTTTAATGAAAGAATGAATGAAATAAGTTTTAATGACTTGGGGAACCATCTTTTGTCTTGTCATTTTCCCTTCTTTTCAGTGATTTAAAAGCCAACAATAATATTAACCTGAACATGAATGACCCTCCCCCTACTGTACAGAAGAAAAAAGCTGCTGACAATTCACACTTTTTTACCAACTAAAAAGCACTATAAACCTATTAGGCCTATATTTTTACAAAATCAGAAGTGCACAATTTCTACTATAAACGATTTGTTCCTTTTGTATATTATTATGACCCGTATAGTGTTTAATATTATCCCGCCAATGAAATTTGGACAAAATTAGCCGACCTTAAATTCTCTGAGGTCGGCAGTCTCGGCAATTTTCAATACCCAGGCCTATAGTATAAACTACAATTTCGATTTATCTATTTCAATTTATTTAAGTTGTGATACTGTACCACAAGTTTATAAACTCCAATGTTACGTTGATGCAATCTCACAACAATGAAGTTTTAATAATCAGTCATCTATAGGTGTCATAATCATAAATTTTCTTACCTCGGCCCCATCCATGGTGGGAGGTGGTCTAGTTTCTCAAACTGTGAAAGTCCCTCCCTGCTATCGTTTATTTTGCTTTCCTGGATCCGCCACTAATAATGATCAATTAAGTAAATCACCTTTATGTTTGATTGTAAATTAGACGGTAGTATTTCCACTCACAATAGTGTTTATGCAATACTACTTACGCAAAAGTGAAATTCAAAAAAAGGAGAAAAGGAAAAACCACTTGATTAATTTTAAAAGTACTGTACTGTTTTAAGTTTATCTTTCTTTTTCATGGTTTGAATATGTCAAAAGCTAATCAGTAGATAATAAATCATTACTTTTATGAATGTTAGTTTGCACTGAAAAAATGTAAGTGCAGATAATTATGATTACCAGGTTAATTTGAAAAACTTTTTATAATGAGTATTTTAGTGGCAGATTCAAGGGGCCCAGCTGGCCCACCCTCCAAAATTTTTTTCAAAATTTAAAAGTAGAGAAAAAAGATTTATTAAATTTTAGTCCGAGAGTGCCATTTCTGGCCAACTAGATGTGCCATCATAAAATTTCTTACCATGGTTGGGGCTTAAGTGGTGTACACTCTCCATCTGTAAAAGCTCCTCCCTGGGCCCCCTCTATTTCAAATTCCTGGATCTGCCACTGTATTTTTTAAAAGAGTGTGGAAATAAATATTAATTGTATTCCTTAAATTAAATTAGATACGGTTTATTAAAGACTATAGGCACCAGAGCTTCTGGGGCCTTCGCCCCTTGGACCCCCACCGGGGACCTAGGCCACACCCTTCCTAAAACCAAGGCTTGGGCCTACAGCCCGAGGCTTTCTCTATTTTGCATTTTGGACCACGAACCACGGATCGACACCCTTGCTTGCCATTACAGAATATTCCAAAGCATTACTGCATCGCCTGTAACTGTAATTTTAGAAAGACTTTTGCAAATCAAATTCAAACTAGACCTACTTTTTAAATTAAGAACATGAGCCAATTATTTAATTGTTTAATACAGTACTACCATGCCTACTGGTAAGGAATGGTAACAAATAGATAATACAATACATGCTAAAATGTTGTGATTGATGTAGTCTGTAGACCAGGTGTGGGCATAAAAATCGGTCGGAGGGCCAAAATGAATTTCTGATTTAACACCAAGGGCCGCAACTAAACTTTGATCTTTCCAGTGCGCTTCTAAAAACCTCCAAGCACTGCTTTTACACTCACTTTATTCCCAGTTTTAATATTACTTTTTACATATGATCAGTGTCTGGCCGTAAAAAACAAGGTGTTTTCTAGCCAATGTTGCTTGGCGGGCCGCAAAAAAATCGCTGTCATTTCATTTCATTTCTTTAGGCACGAGGGCCAAGGATATGCCAATAAGTGAACTTAATCACTGCCCTACGTGGCATATCCATTTAACAACAGGGGACTTAATGGACCAGGACACCGGGGTAACCCCCTACTCTTCTCAAATGATGTACCAGGTTCTTTAAAGTGCACACGAGCCAAATGCGTACACTGGGCCTACGGTTTAAAGTCCCTATCCGAGAAGACTTGTTCCACCACCGGAACCATTGGCGAGTGAGCCGTTCGAACCAACGCCGATATTAGAGCTGAAGGTCACGGTGCCTCTGACTTAACCGCTCAGCCAATCAACTCGCCACTGTCGAGCTGCATGCGGCCCGCACTTTGCCCACCTGTGCTGTAGACATTCCTTATTCGTCACATACTGTAGGCTATTGACTTATTTTAGTGATTAACATGGTCACTTTATAATATATTTTATTCCATTATATTTAGTGAACATACACACGTTTATACCAGCCGCACTCACGGAAGTGGTACGCTACTACATACTGAATACCCTTCTGCTCCTTTCACTGTACTGTACCAACGTAATTTGAATAATGAATTCTCACATGTGTGACTTTTGTAGCATGACAAATCGTCATCCAATATTTTGTAGATTCGTAAAATCTGTTTTATGATATTTTAATAGACAAAAATAGGAGCTCAAAATATGCCAATATAAGACATTTAAAAGAATGGTGCTACGATATATTTCTTTCAGAGCTGTGCACGCTTCTGGACGGCAAATCGACACAAACGTAAGGCCTTACTCAATTTATAATATAGATGCATCCATAATAATAACCCTCTGGTATCTCATATTAACCCTCTGGTATCTGATGATTCATCACTTTCTTGTTCTAATGTTGATTTTTCAATGAAATATACTTGGATTTGTAAACAGAATATATTTCTGTAGTAAGACTTAGTTTTACAATTTCTTTTTAATATCTTAATGTCTACATGTCATTGGCTTCGACTCCCCAATGCCAATTTTCAGGTCACTATATACTTACACTACAAATCCCATTATACAAAAAAAATGATGATGTGTAGAATAATATGGAAATTTTGTTTTTGATTTTTTTCAAAACTATGACTAATCCAAGACTAACACTAGGACAACAAATAGTATTACAGTAGCTAAGCTGATAATGATTTTATTATAAGAAAATAAAAGAAAAGATGTTTATTAAATTTTTAAAATTAATTATGATTTATATGAATGACAATAACCAATAAAAATTAAACTTACCAATAATGCGTCCACATGAAGCAAGGATCGGGGGTCCCGCAACTGCTGCTCCACATCCACATACCTTGTGTCTAGTGTCTCCATTTTTGGTTAAAAAAATATATTATCCAGAAATACAAAATCTGAAAAGGGAAATCATAGGATTTTGTGTTTCAATAACCATTGAGATCGAGATAATAAAACCATCATGATGGTTAATAAGATATTTATTCAAATAAATTATCATTCAAAGTTTCAAACTTCTGAACAGTGGCAAGCACCTAGGGTATAATGTCAAAACTGAATAACTAAGGAATATAAACCACATTATACAGATTAACAGTAACATATATATTTACATTGTTTCTTATGAAGTACAACTACAGTACGGTTGACTGACTATTGAGAAGCCACAGAAATTCCGAGACAATGTATTTTGAAATATCATCTTAATAATATTAATAATTTTATTATTATTACAAATTTAATATCAAAATTAATAAACTGAATAACATTAACACAGGAATATTCAATGCAGCACACAGAGGCTAGATTTGATTGATACTGTATTCATGGTAGATCACAGTGCAGTGTTTAATATAACCCCGGTCACTGAATATAAACAGCAAGAATACACCATGCGCAACCTCCACTACTCCCAGGGGTGCAATCCTAGTAGTGCAATTTCATCACAAATGATTCAGTAACATTCTACCAGGTACCTATTTTATAAGGAATCACAAGCACCTGGAATCACACAGTATAAACAAGATCAGCCTCCACTAAAAACTCTCAAAGAAAGCCTGCATGTAGCCTACTGTACAGCCTAAGCTAATTTTCTAACCACTGTGCCAGGAGCCCATCAGTAAAAGTATTAGACAATATTATTTATTTTTGTCAGTTTAAAGGTTTGTATTTTATGATTTTCTGAACTGAAGTGGGACACCACTGATATTTATATTTTCATATGATAATTAGAGAGTAGTACAGTAAATAACTTTTGATCTGCATGTTGTATGAAACATAGATTACCAGTACCTGGGTCGAGCTGATAACATAATGGTCATAAAGAATACAATATTGCGCTGTACAGCTCAATAAAGTAACTAAATGCTTTAAAATATTTATTATTAAATTATTATCTTGCATGGTTACTTGGCTGTAATTAAATTTGTTTCTGATTTCAATTTTTCACAACATACTAAAAATTATTTAAAAAAAATTTACCAATGGACAATGGGTTTGTAAAATATATCATCCATTATAAATTATTAAATGGAATTTACAAGATTATTATCATTAATTAAAGTTTATTCTTGATCATTAGAGTGGAGAATCAGTATTAATTTATTATACAGTAATTATTATTAATCTAAATCAGTAGGATACAATTAGGAAATTAAATTGAGAAATTAAAACAAGTAGAGGTCAGTGAATCAATTATACACAGAGTATAAAATATGCATCATCCTTAACAACATTAAACAGAGCCATTACTATACAGTAGAACCTCGTTTTTACGTACCCCAGTTATACGAACCCTCGGTTTTACGTACGCTTCATATCGACGATGACGTCATCAAAAACCCCGAAAACATTGAAAACAAACGGCCCTTTTCAGAGCAACCATAAGTAAACTACATCGTAAAGTGATGAATAAAAACAGTAAACACATGGTTTTATTTGTAGGCCTATAGGCTAGGTCTAGCCTAGGTAACATCGTTCGTTCGTACATACATTTATTGAGTGTTACGTAGGTCAAAGGATACCACAAATTTAACCCAACCCATATTTTACGGATTCCCCGATTTACGTACGCCCTCCGGTCCCGTACCGTACGTAAAATCGAGGTTCTACTGTATACTGTATGTTACTTCTAATCTAAACAGGTGCTTTATTTTCTTTAACCTACACCTTAATACCGTAAAACCTTAATTGAAGCCCTGGACTTTAGAAGGGCTTCCTTTTTAAGATCGGCTTCTTTTCGAGGCTACTTTTGCAAAATATAGAGGGGGCTTCATTTCAAATTTGGGAATTTGTATCCGACATCAATCTGTATCATGATGTGTATTAACTGGCATTAAGCCATCTAAACTACTATATAAACCCAAGCATGTTTTTAATATTTCATTTTTAAAAATTCATGTACAGTGTATGTACTGTACTATCTCGAAAAGAAGCCATAATTGTTACTGTATCTTGAAAAGAAGCCCATGGGCTTCTTTTCATGGCTAATTTTGCAAACTAAAGATGGGGCTTCAATTCGAGATTTGCTTCTTCTCGAGATTAAGCCCATTGGGCTTCAATTCAAGGTTTTACGGTACAGGCATTGCAAGGATGCCCCAGAAACCCTGGTAGAAATATCATCTCATTGACCTGTGTATTTGAATCTTTGTGCCATTACTGCAAGGATATACAGTCGAGTTCGCCTAAGTCGAATCTAATGGGACTGGCATAAAAAGTTCGAGTTATACAGATTTCGACTTGCACATTTTCAAAAAAAAATATTAACATAGAACAATACTATGTGTACTCAATGCCCACAAAATTGAATTTCACGCAAAACCGAACATTTCCTTAAATCCCAAACTCATTCCTATTCTTCTTTTAATAAAATACTTTTCGAAAACATGAACTCCCTATTCCAAATCTCGGACGATTTGTCAAATTCAGGACAGTAACACTCACTCGAAAAACCAGACGATGACAAGCATACCAGACGCTGTGAAAACGAGACGCTTAGCTATACTCGCATTGCCATGAAGATTATCTGTTGATTAACACGACACACCAGTAGACGTTTTCTTGGTTAATTATGAAGTGAAATTTACGCATTCCAATGTTTTAATAAGTGTATATTCTTGCTTTTAATCCTTAAAAACTATTTGGAATCAATCTGCAATAAAGAGGGAACTCAACAAAGCAAGTTTCTACTGGTTACTCTTTTCAGTAGACGTCTAATTCAAATTTGTTAGATTTGTCGGTGTAAATTTCAAATGCACCTCATTCATTCTTTAAACTCAAGACGCTTTTCAAAACATGTTGCTAATTTAATTACGGAGGAAATCTGTAGAGAATAAAATATAATTTGTTAGGTATATTTAGATTTGACTCTAAAATATACCATGAGGGTTTCTTATTTGTTTTTTGCTTTGTTTTATAAATTTGTTTAATTAAAACATTCTTGATTACACAGAGGTTGTTACTGTCACGCACTATAAAACTTTGGGCGATCTGCCGAAGTCATCACAGCCGAAGCACATGTTTGCAAAACACCCCACGAAAATGGACGAATTGGCGGGCAGGAAGAGTTTTTTGGGGCGCAACCTGTTCTGTTTACAACTAGACTGCCGACGAGCAAGTGGCATTGCCCAACGAAGAATGTGTGCTTGGAAAAACATAATCAGACCTAAAGAAATGCACGCAAAAACAATATAAAAGTCGCATCAGCTTTATTGGTAATAATTAAATTTGCTGAGCAGTACAGCAAAACAACAGTACGTATTACTGTATTAAATAATGTGTTGAATTTGCGTAGGCTAGGCAGTCCAAAGAATCCAGGGCTTTGATAAATTAATTAAATAGCTAGGCCCTGACTACAACAATCTTGTTCGAAATGGGTTCAGTACAAGTTTTACAAACTAAACTGGACGAAAAACTGAACATTGCAGCCGGTCCAGAGGGGTGTCTGTATTATGAGAGTAGACTGCAACTTACGACATACGATCATGTGAGCCAAGTTCCACAGCACGCTGTCTGAGATGTTAGTTTGACATGGCTAACTTGTTGCTGTACAACAAGGATTGAACTTCATATTTTCCCACGGTTGTGTATTTTTCCCATGTGCGCTACTAAATTTGGAACTTGTGTGGTTGAAATTACTTTAAAATCGGCCTATCCGGACAGGAAAATTCCGTCGATATAGCCAAAATTCGACTTATAAAAATTTGAATTAAACAAACAATTTACACAGTAATACATAGGAAAGAATTGGGACTTTTTAAAAAATTCGACTGACGTGAATTTTCGACTTAAACAGAGTCGACTTTGGCGGACTCGTCTGTAATTGCTGCAAATGAGATTTCATGAAATGGTGACGTGTTGTGTGACTGCTAACCATTCCATGTTCCAGGCTTCGGGCCTGATGCGCCTAGATTGTCTAAGCCTTTGGCAACCAAGAATTGATTTAAGAGTAGCAGGCCTATGAATCTATTATTTTTAGAGTTGATAGAACACATGACAATCCTGAGATTGGCCTCCCTAGCAAGGCTGCTAAGACAGTAGGCTGATAACTTCAGTGTTGTCTTAATATCAATCATACTAAATTACAGTAAATTAATATGGTAAAAAAAAAAACCCAGAAAATTAAAAAAATCAATCAGATTTAGGCCTAACCTTTGTTATTATTATTAACCTTTAAAACAATTTATTTTAATATAGTATGACGAGGTTAGTGCAACACAGGCTTTTTTAGCTACTTACTTACCAACATAGCTACTTTCGTACCTACCTACATAGGCCTCCTAGCTCTGATTGTCACAATCCTCAACCTGATCAGGCTATTGTTTTTGGATGATGATGTAACTTGATAGCTAGGCCCTAGACCTCTTAGACTTAGCCTACGAAGGACTAACCTATAGTATAAAATAGCCTGGCTGGCTAGGCCTTGGCCTACAAGTACAACCTACACAGGCTGCAATAGAAGATTTACTACCCTCATAGGCATGGGATATGACCGGTTGAGCCGCCGACAAGTTGAGCCGCCGGTAATTTCTATGGAACGCCAAGTGCGTCTCTCAGTGAATGTAGTGCGTCTCTCAGTGAATGTAGTCAGCTTGCCGATGTCATCAATGAATGAACCCCCCCGGATACCAGCTACATATTCATCCCACAGTCTTGTCAGTCATTGATTTGCTCGTATTGCCGTTCGTGATGTATAATTGTGTAATTGAAAATTAGAATTTTGATTTGCGGCGTATTTCAATTAACTTAAGCCGCAATCGCACTGGATTTAAAATAGGGAAATTTTTACCGAGACTGTGGGTAACATTCCAATGGGTAAACTTCCTGTCGTTCGCACTGGGATTTATCGACGTGGTTAGTTTTACCACAG